CGACCCGACTGACTGCCCCTGGGTCTCCGAGGATGAGTGACAGTATGAGTAATAATGATAATTGTATTTTAATTTGTTTATATAAATGCTTTCATCTTCACAGATCTAACAGACAGTAGCAGTTTTGATAAAGCAAAGTATTGGGTTGGTCAACTAAAATCTGCTGAGCCCGTAAGTTCCAAGTTGAAAAAACTAGACTCCATCTTCAAGACCTTTTTACTCTTGACTTGGTATTACTAGTAATAGTTGACACTACAGCTGTGTAGCTCTTTGAAATATATGTTATGTTTCAATTTTATCCTTGGTTCAAATTTCATTTTCTTTTGTTTCAAATGCATTATCATATTATTACTATACATTGCCATACCTGAAAACAAAAGAGCACAAAATTTGTACCAAGGATAAAATTGAACCACAACATATACCAGTTCACATTGAAGATTTTCACACATAACTGTAACATGCAATATGTGAGATAAGGCAGGAAACGCAAGGTCAATTCATGCAGCTTTGATCAAAACACCCTTGGTGTTTCTTGAATTTTTTCAAAATACTTTGCTTTAAAAAAACTTTATGGTGAGCTAGCGTGCAAAAAGTACTTCTAGGCACTTTACCTACACTGTGAAAATGTAGCCTCTGCTCGCAGGATATAGTAATCATCCATTGTTCTGTTGATAAGCTACAAATGCTTGATTTGTTTTTATTGTTCGCTTTGGAAAACTTGCTTGTTTGTGGATTGAGCCCCAAAGTGATTTGTGTCTGACAAATTTAAATGGTTTCCAATCAAAGATTTGTAAATATCATCTGTAGTGAATTTTCACTTATTACATGTAAAGACCCTTTTAAACTGTTTAATTTTCTTTATTGCTGTCACTGTTACTGTTAGGATTGCAAGATTTATCTTTGTGGAACTAAACTAGATTTGATAGAAGAAGCCAGACAACCAAGAGAAGTTCAAAGCAAATCTATCACAAATTATGGCAGAGGTTAGTTAAAACATTAACTAACTTCTACACTAACTTCAATTATGGAAATTCTGACTACTGTCACTGTTTCCACACTTTATTCTGCCTTGTCTTGTTATACTGACTTAAAGTTATTTGTGTATCAGTTAATTTACACTTGTTCATTTTTTGTGCCTGTAGAAATTGGTGGAGATGTATTTGAAACATCCAGCAAAAGAGGCTACAATGTTGGTAAGTTGTTGGTACATAATTTGTGGCGTTAAAATAAATTTCTAAAACTAAAACATTGTAAAAATCCAAGTGAAAGACATATTTTTTTAACAAACATATTTCTCATCACTATCCTGTTATTTTTCGTTTTTATCAGACAAAGTTTTTGAGAAAATAGCAGAAGATTTTATGAAAAATAATAAAATGCAAGCATCAGGTATGTGACTTATCACAATCAAAAGCAACTAAATTAGATACTTATTACCAGTAACTATAGTCCTAGCAGATACACTCTCGTCCAACACTTACCATAGATTATAGGTTTTAAGCCCTACAAAGTAGGTTGAAATATTTCAAAACAGGCTTATTACAAATAAAATTAATGTTTTAATATTTTCTCACCACATAAAACAAAAATTAAAACTCAGATTTGACTGTAAGCAGTATACTACAAAACAAAATATATATTAGATACTTATACCGGTAGCTGCACTACATGTGATGTCACTTTTGTGTTTCATAGTTGATACTCTAGAACTTTTAAACTTCTCTTTTCATCTTGTTTATAGGACCAAAAGGAGATTTGCAGCTAGAGAGATCAACAGCTAAGAAGTCTTGCTGCTAACAAAGCCAGGATGAAATGCTGGACTGCAAAAGGCAAAGGGGGTCCCTGTGGCATGATCTGGTGAAACAGGAAACCCAGATCAAACCACTGTCGTGTAACATGATAAGTTGTGAAAAGAGACTTAAAATACTTATATATAAATATCTTAGATTATCTTTGAATTATGTTTTTAAAATTTGAAAATTTACATCAAATTACCAGTACTACTGCAATACAATATAGTCTAATCCCGTTATTACGGACTTCAAGAGGGCCATATAAAGTATCCATTTTAAGCAAGTTGAATTTAGAGAAAATCTAAGGGCTTTCTTTCCCCAGGGACAAAGCAAACTGTCCATAATAATGGGATTGTATTGTTGGTTTTTACTTAAATGATTTTAGCTTTTTGGTAATTCAAGAGAACAGCCTTCTGTCATTGCACAAAATATCTCCACTTGTCTATTGGAATGTTTTTATTTATGTCGAAGGATAAACAGTTTCTTGCAGGAATATGCCAATTTTTTTAGTTTTCCACAGAATTTTATCGAAATCATAGCTGCTACATTATAGAAATGTGGCATATCAAGATAGAAGAAGAGATGCCACAAAAACATCACTGATTAAGACATTCAATTCAAAAATTGTTGTATTTGTATTTTTATTATTTATGCGTTTAAATCCTAGTTACTGAGTTAAATGTTGAGTATGAGTTGCTCTTGGTCATGTCTGAAAGTTGGCAGGAAAATTTCCCACATTTTTTTTCAAATCTGGGAAAGGGAAGTTACACTTAAGTCCAAAAATAGCACAGTTCTTTTTACGTATAGATTTTCCATGGTGTATTATGAAAACTATCTAGCCTTCTTAGAGGTATGTCTAAAACTGGAGGAAAAATTTTAATTTCAGTTCTTTGACTTTTATTGAATTAGCCTGCATAGCATGGCGGTTTTGGTTGGTCGCACTAAATAATAAAGGTGGGCGAGGTTAGAGAAAGTGCAACCGCTCGTTCGTGCGCACTTTGCGCATGTTTTTGCAGCTTTGCCGCTCAGTCGTGCTCCCAATGAAACCGCCATGCTACACAGGCTAGTAAATAAAATTCATAGGACTTAAATTTTATCTAGGACAAGTAGGACTGATTGGGGGTAAAATAGGTTTTTGTTGTTGTTGTTTCTCTACTTCTTAAAGGTCAAGTCAGGCCTCTAGGAACTTGTGAATGAAGTATGGAGAATTCGGTTCTAAGTTAGTTTTTCTCGTAATGTATTAAAGTGTCAGGTAAACTGCAAATGGTGCTATTTAATTAACAGGTGGGGTGCGTCCACCATCCAAAACAATTGGAGTCGACAGCAGCCCCCCCCCTCTTCCTACTTCCTGGTTAATGTGAGGCAAATTGTAACTGTGGGTTAGAAGATTTCTATCCAACTTTTGTGTCCCAGTTTACAAAAAGTTTGTTTGTATTTTTTATATATATAAGGAATGTTATTATATTATGATATCCATTCAAATTAGTGAGTCTCTATAACATATATAATATATCTATATATACTATATATAAATTATTGTATCCCATACTCAGCTGCTGCATACTTATTAATATGTTTGTTATGTGCTGTTTAGTTAAAGGTAGGCAGGGTTTAGATGCTAGGCAATCCTTAGACTCATGCAAAAATCTTTAATATTAGACTTTTTAGTTAACCTTCGATAACCTTGTCAAGAAATGCCAATGGCTTTTTTTGATGCAGTAGAATTTTTTCCTTTCAAATAAGAAGACAATCCAGATTTTTGTCTGTCTTTTTGCTTGTTTGTTTGTTTGTTTTTGTTTTAACACGGAGGCTAAGCCGTTAGTGTTGTCTGTTAATAATACTGAAACACTCCTTGAAACATGTTTGGTGCTCTTTATACATCACAATGGAAAAAAATTCAAGCCCAGCTTCGCATAATTTGTTTTATTTTTACTGATGGCTACTGTAGAAAGTATACCCATTAAACAACCGTATAAAGTGTGATTATTAAACATTGATGAATTTTCGTTTATTTTTATTGATGGCTACTGTAGAAAAATATACCTTCTAAATAAACTACGTTCAAGATATAAATTGTGATTAATCATAGAGAATTTTATTTTTCTTATCGAAACAAAAACACCAGTTACAAAATCCCCAAGCTTGAGCGAACACCAAGCAATAAGTGGAGTGATGTGCGTGGCTGAACGACGCGTCCACGCCTCTTGGTGTTGTCAGGGTTGTGTGTTCGAGGCCGAATTTACAAAATCTCATGTAGCGAACACTATTTTAAGGAATAAGTGTGATATGGTAGTTTGCTCCCGCGGTCGACTCTAATGAAAGTGTGTCTGGCTGTGAAAAACGGTTTGCAAGTTGTCTGGTCTAGGCAGGAGTCCACGGGCGATTATTCCAAAGCGCAAACTTCGTCAAATGTGGGCAAACTCTCCTGAGTTGCCTTCCTAAGAACCATATCCATGCAAGTTCAGACAGCGGAGAAAAAAAATCGTCGTCACAGGCAACGAAGGATTACGTGACGAGCAATACAAGATTATCTACGCTAGTGTATGTACGCCAGTGAGATGTATCAGCACCCACCATCAACCCTCTCCCCCGTCCCCCTCCAAAAAAAATTCACCCGTGCTATTACGCTGGCCGGGTTTCAAATGCGTGGTACACAGCACAAAACGAAGAAAGGAAGCTTACTATCGTACATGTGTTCCCCGTAATCAACCTGAAGAAACCCTTTTAAAACATCTCAGCTTAAGAGTTTAAAAAATCTTGAGCTGAGAGCGTTAATTGTGCCCGATGAAACTTTATACCTCCAGACGTCAAAGATATGCTATGCATTCGCTTCTCACGTGACGAAACAGACAACTTCGGTTTCACTTGAGTTTCAGCTTTCACATATCGCGTCCTTGAAACAGTCTGACCTGATCAGTTTGAGCTTATATTTGAGCCTTGACGAGGCCTTATAACACAACACAAACTGGGAATAAACTGTTAAAAAGCCGGGAAGTTGTAGTGTAGTCATTTAAAAAGGTAAGCTCAAAGTTTTCAATTTGTCTTTTGAAAGATGTCCACTGTCGCTTCTGTCTTGCGAGTCGCTGCTGCTGATTTTCATTGTCGTCTTTAGCCGTTTAGTTTAGTTAACCTTGAGTTTGATTTCCAGACCACTTCGTTCGTGTGTTTAAAAGATCATACTTCTAAACAGCTTACTATACACGACATATACTTTTATCATCGATAAAAATTGTGATCATCATCATATTTGATCATGATGATGTAAAAGAATGGTGGATTATCTCGGTTTGCCCCATAAATAAACCGAAACTTCCGCCCTAGACATTGCAAAGACTGTAAGTATTGGCTATTAGTATGTGAATGTTTAATGAATGTAAAGTTTGTCCGTCATTTCTCATTTTGTCCGGGTTTCAAAACTCTCAACGAGGGCTCCTAAATATTAAACCGTGTGATGTGTGCTTGTTGTCACGCGGCCATTCACCCAGAGATGATTATAATTTTTTCTCACACCGAGAAAAATTCATTGAATTAACAGTGGGTAAGGAATTCCACTTGAAAGGGTCAGGAATGCTCATCAAAAAGTTTGAGTTGAAATCCTAAGGGGACCAATCTGGACGTGGGTAACACTTTATTTGACCCTAAAGGAGAGGATAGTCAGTAGTCATACCCAGTGTATGAAGGCATTTGGTTTTATTATATTTTACATTTCTTTGCACATGAACCTGAAAAGTACCTGTATGGGTAAAAATATTGACTTTCTATCCTGAATACCCCAAGGAAGATTGAAATCCCAAATTTTCACCCCTAAGTGAGATAAGGGCTTCTCTGTTCATTTCATATGGGGTACTAAACCCTCCTCCTTCCCTCTTGGATTCAAATGTAAGGAGTTGGTGGGCATTGATTTGAAACCAAGAAGGCTTCCATTACAGTAAGTCCTCAATCTCAGTGATCTAAACAGAAAAAAATGGGGGATTGTTAACAGTCAAGTTTATTTGCATTTCCTTTTAAAATATGTCACCTTCTAAACTTTTTTCAATATATTTACTCTCACCCTGTTGTTTTTGTTTGAGCATGTGTCCATGGAGTCATTCTTAAATTCAGATACTGAAGGGGGCTTACAGTTGAATGTGCCTTATGATGAAACTTTAAACAGTTTGGTCAACTACAATTCAGAACTTATCTATGGTCCCACTTCTTCACATACACACCCAAGTCAAGGAACTTCTCCATTGGACATCAGGCGCAAGCTCCCAACTAAACTGTCTAAAAACCCAAGTTCTTACGAAAAAGAGATTCGTCAATTGGTGATTGACTTATACTCAGACAAGAAAGTGTCCAATCAGAATCTTGACCAATCAACAAACATGACATCTTCAGCTAGTTATTATAAGGTACAAGAAAGAGGACATTCTGTGGTACAAGAGTCTGGGGATCCTGTGCTGCAAGAGCAAGAGGCTAGAGTTCATTTGTTGGAAACAACTGCCCATCCTGTGGTGCAATTGCCTGAAACTCCTATATCACAAGGGCCACCATCTGAAGGTGCATCATTGTGGGGTACTCAGAGAGTGAGTGCCCCTCAGCCCCTTGATATCAAACGTGTGACAGAGCCTTCCCAGAACCTCTCAGAATCTGGCTCAGAGGGGTATTTTTCCCAAGAAAATAGTATTGCATCAGCAGAAGAGGGTACAATACAGAGTTTACAGGAGCTACAAAGTTATTTGGCAAAATATCAGACCAGCAAGCAAGGTACATCCTACAATGCTATTGTCTCCTTACTTGCCCCTGCCTCTCCCCACCCCACCATTTCATTTGGAGCGCTGACCTTCCCCCCACTTCCTGTCACATCCATCCTGTATTATAAAATTCTCTTTGATATCTCCATGCTTCATAATCTCTAGGTTTATTACCTGACTAATTTCCCCTGATAAATATTACAAGGTATTAATTTGTTAATAGGACAGTATTATTTGATCCTTCAAGTTTCTAAGTGGTGTACCGTAGTATGGAAATTTCTTTCTTCTGGAACAATTTCTTTTGTCAAGTATTTGCCAAACTGAAGATTTACAAATCTCTGCTTATATATTTAGTAAAAGATTGGCTCTATTTACTCCTGACAACCCTCTTTGGCTAATTTAGTGTTAAATATCACAAAATCTTTTCCTCACATCGTAGAATTGTCCTCCAGAAATGTCAGCTTCTCCTCAGACATGACGACTCCATTATTTGATGACTCTGGGATACATCTTGAGTTTACGCTGCCTTTTGACACAGACATACCTGAGGAAGGGGCTTTGCATAACAATAGTGATGGACAGAGAGAGACAGAGGCCTGCCTACGACCTTCTTTCTTTTTCACAAAAGATGAAGAGAGTGAACCAGATATTTCACTGTTGGAAATGTTTCAAGGCTCACAGAGACAAGGAGACGGAGAAAATGGTGTCAACAAAAATCTGGCGGCAAGGGACGGTCAAGCAAACGATCTTGTTCCTTCCAAGGAGGACATCCCAAGAAAACAGATATCTGGTTCCAGTCATGTTCAGAATTTCCCTGCTTTACAGATCCCTGAAAATGAATATGAAAATAAGCCCCTCTGGTATGGTCATGAAAAGAAGGCGGAACTTGCAGTCACAGAGATGGGAACAAGGGTGCAGATTCCAGACACGGCTCAATTTGCTGTTCCAAGTTCTGGAGATAATAAAAGTGTCTTTTCGTTGGAAAACGTGCAACTTCCAAAGTCTCTAAAAGATCGTGAAAGCAGGGCGGATCTTGAAGCCACAGACGGTATATTAGCAATGCAGAGACCATTTGTGAGGGAAAGCTGTCATGAGTTTGAACTTCAGCGCGCGGGTTTGGAAGGAAAATTGGAATCTCTACAAGAGGAGTTTGCTAATGTTTTAGAAGAGAGGAAGAGGCTTCAGTTAAGACTCCAGGCATTGGAGGCCAGACTTAAGGATGAGGTACAGAAAGCGCGAGAAACCAAACCAACGGCGGTAACGCTAGTTGACGAACTGCGAAAAAATAAGGCTGAGCTGGAAAACCAGCTGATGAAATTACAGAGTGCTTACGAAGAAAAAAGCGATGGGCTTACTGCGGCACTTGAGCGCTTGAAGACAGCTGGTGGAACTATTCAGACTCTGAAACAAAAGGTGTCGATATTAGAGGAAGAAATATGTCAAAGAGAAAAAACGGTGACTGCGCTTCAAGCTGAGATGGATAGTCTTAGAAAATTGCTTGAGCAAGCTAAAGACCAGAACGAACAATTTAGGAATGAGAATAAAGCTCTGAATGCAGAAATAGCGAGTCTGGTAGAGGCTAAAGAATGGCTACAGAAGCAGCTTTCTGTAGCTGGAGAAGCGAGGACAAAGATGCAGCTTGAAGCTAGCGAACGTGAGTCCACGTTGGCAGCGAAAAATCAGCTGATTGAGCAGCTGAGATGTGACAGTGCACGTTCGGCTCAGCAACTTTCAGAACTACAACAAAGCTCCCTCGCAGAGAAGTCGAATATTTTAAAGCACATGGAGCAGGTTGAAGATAGTGTCAACCAGCAAAATCTGGCTTTCAAAGAGATGGAAATTGATAAGCAAAGGATGGAAAGAACTTTAAGAGAGAGAGTCGAGTCACTGACAAGTGAAAACAAGAGGCTTCTTAAGCTTATTAGTTCAGCTGGGGAAATTGAGAAAGAACTTGATGCGGCCAAAAAAGATGTGGTTTTGAAAGAGGCTTTGCTGGACGCTATTACGAAAGAAAAAGACGAAATCAGTCAGCAACTGAAGCTAGCACGTGATTCCACAGAGGAGTTTAAAAGAAATATTAACGAGTTGGAGTCAAAGTTCAACGAAATTAAACAAGAGCTCAAGACAGCGCAAAAAGACATAAGCGAAAAGGAGAAGTATATTGAGAAACTGAACGAAGAAAAGCGAATTTTGAAAGAGAATCTAGAAGTTGCAAACCAGGAACGTGCAGCGTGTGATAATGCCATTCAAACACTGAGGCTGGATCTTGAGAAAGTTGATCGTCGATTTAAGCTTATGAAGAGGGAACTGACCGCAAAGAAATGCCAGCTTGAAGAGACAACTCGACAGAAGGATAGTTTTATGGGCGAACTGCGCGCTTTAAGAGAGGGTTTGGAGAATCAAGTTAGCTTAAACGGTGCCATAAAAGAACAGTTAGCACAGAAGGAGAAACTCATTGAAGAATTCCAAGAAATGAAAGTCGCTCTGGAAAAGGAGATTGGTAGTTTGAATCGGCAGATAGAGTCTGCACAAGACGAGCTCACAAGAATGGACCACGAGAGAAATGAGATCCAGGAAAAACTTCAGTCTGCAGTGAGGTAACCAAGTTATAAATAATGGTTTGCTTAAAGAAAAAACATGAAAACTATGAAAAACATCCTTCAAGGTGGCTCGATGGGGTTTTTCAGGGTCAATACTTACCTAATTTATCTCGTTTTCGCACGTCCATACGAAAATGCTAAACCGACGGAAACCAGGAAACACGTCCACTGGCGAAAACTTTACTGAAAGCGCATACGTCTTATGAAATTTCACGTGATCGGTAATAAAACACAATAGCATTCCTTACAGAGAATGCGTAATGCCAGAAGCACATGATGTATTTTACTCGATAACCTCCATTTTCGTCCCACCCCTTGTAAGCAATTAGCCGGCGTTTTCAAAACTCACACTCTGAAAACCATCAGGTTCGAAAAACTAAATTTTTTTGGTGCCCCAAAACGCCGTTTACATGAGGACAGAAGGCTAAAACGGAGAAAAAATGCTCGTTTTCAAAAATATCCGGATACTTCTAAGCTGGGCCTTTTTAATGTCTGCGCGTAAGCTCTTCGAGTGGCAAGGGTTCACGCGCAATCGCGAGAGACTGATTTGGGCGGGATTCTTTGCCTGTCGCTATTCTCAGGTAGGGATTTTCAGTGCTGGCAGGCTATTTACACTGCGAACGTAATTTAGCTGGACTAGATGTTCATTTAAACGATATTGAAAGGAAGAATATTATGTTCTGTTTGTAGGGAAATTGTCAAGAAAGAGGAGAAGTTTCAAAAGTCCCTAATGGAACGAGCAAGGTTGGAAGGCGAACTCGAGACAACAAAACATTCAAACAAGGAAGAAAATGAAGCATTAAAAAGTCAAAACGCAACGATTGTAGAAGAAAGCAAGAAAGAAAAGATGCTGCTACAGGCAGAAGTTACGAAGGAGCGGGATAAAGTTATTAACTTGGAGCAAGAACTTAAATTTCTAACCGATGAAACTCAGAGAAAGGAAATACTCTATAATCAGGAACTACAGACTACGGAGGCGAGTTTGGAGGAAATGAAAAGTAGAAAGGAGATCGCGGAACAGGAATTGAAGAAACTTCATGAATTGACCGAGGAAAGAATTGAGGAACTGAAGAATACCTACAAAAGCAAACTTGAAGTACTCAAACACGAACTTGATTCTGTGCACCATGAAAAGGTAACGAAAAACTTGCGATATCATCCCATACCTATACTGTACCTCAGTATCCATTATGTTGAGGTTGAGCCCTCTTATTTTTGGCGAACAGGTAACTGAGGGCCAGCTTAACTGGCCACCTTTGACAAGTGCGTATCCTTTTCTTTGCTGTACTTTGATTGGATAATAATTCTCCCGCCATTTTTTCGACCAATCAGAAGTATAAGCAAAACCAATCATTTACTGTTCGCACCCGTTTTCCCGCGCTTTGCGTCTTCCAATTTTGATTGGTTATTAATCCTGGTTTCCATATCATCGTCCGGCTTGTCTCAATCGCCTAGACAGTCTAAATGATTATTCGGGAACTTACCTAAAGAGCTGCCTCGTCCCCAGTTGCTCGCGATCGCTTATTTTGGGGATATGTATAATTTAGGAGAGCGGGTCGAAGGGGATGATGGGTAGGGAAGGAGAAGAAAAAACTTTCCCTTTTGTCCATTTGTTCCTTTTAATCACTCCCCGTTTGCTCTGCAATCGCTCCCATTATCCCGTCGCGCTTTTCCGCGCTGGTCTTGCTTCCTTCTCAACGTTGGAAAAGCAGTTGGAGGAGGCAGCCTAAATAGAGGCTTAAGTTCTATCGGATCTGCAATCGTGTGGGTCATACAGCATCGTATCAGAATGACCTTCTTGAACGCTGGAAAACATTTTGAGACGATTCGGGCGACTTGTGGATGGTCATTAAACTTGAAAAAGTATATTAATATCGCTACTCTAGGTAAGAAAATGTTACTCCATTTTAATTTTTACTATTATTCTTTCTCAAAGGTTGAATTAGAGGAAGTTTATAATGCATTGTGTACAAAGTCCTCTCACGAACTTGCGATGAAAGCCCGAGAAATTAACCAAATGGAAAAAGAACTCTCATTATTGAAGGAAATGCTGAAACAAAGGAAAGCAGAGGCCGAGAAGATGCAGCTTTGCGCAATTGAACTCGAGCGAGAAAAAGGTCGCTTGGCTGGAGTGTTAGCAAGTCAGAAAGCCTTACGAGAACATGTGATAAAGATGGAAAGTGACATGGCAACAAAGGAATCAGCTCGCCTTGAGATGGAGAGTGAAGTGGAAAGACTGAAGAAAGAAGATGAAATACAGAAAAAGACGGCAAGTGAACGAATTGGAATGCTGGAAACAACGTTGAGTAATCTAAAGGAAGAAAGCAAAAATGTTCGAGATGCACTTAGAAGAGAAAGGAGAGAAAATGCTACATTAAGAGGTGAATTGGAAGAGAAAGTTAATGAACGACTGGAGTTAATCAAAAAGTTAGGCAGCGCTGAAAAACAAGTAAAGCAACTGCAAGGAAAGATGGAAAGGCAAATTGATGAAGTGAAAAGGTATCGTACGCAACTAGAAATCATGAAAAGTAGCCTTACAGAACAACAGACTGAACGAGAGAATTTGCAAAGAAAATTGGAGGCGGTATTAGAACAAGAAATGGTGAAGGACAGTCAAATTCAAAGCTTGGAGTGGGAGGTTAGTCGACGAACAAAAGAAGTGGAATACCTAAAGGAACAGTTTCGAATGACGGAAGAACGACAGCAGTTAGAATTGGAAAACTTGAAAACTGCTCTTCAGGTTTCCAGAAGTGAAACAACGTCCTTGCGTTCCGACTTGTCAGAAGCAAGAAAAACCAAATGTGCTTACCAAACAAAAACGTTTGAATTGAAGGATTTACTTCTCACCTCCAGGCAAGTTACGGAGTCATTAAAACAAAAGTTATTTGTGAAGCGGCAGGAGTTGAATTCCTTGCTGGATGACGTGCTTGCTGCCAGGAATCTTCAGCAACTACAGGAGGAAGTTACTAACAGAAGAGAAGCAATATCCGACGAGTATAAAGAAACAACGGACGATACAGATGCTGCTGGAATAGACGATGCAAGTTGCTTAAGGTATGGGAAATACATGCTTTGAGAATTGGGTGATAGGGCAAGGAAGGTAGCCTGCAAAGCAGGCGTATTTTGCTGTGCGATCAATTCGACTGACCGAGAGTTGGGGCAGGGTNGAAGTGAAACAACGTCCTTGCGTTCCGACTTGTCAGAAGCAAGAAAAACCAAATGTGCTTACCAAACAAAAACGTTTGAATTGAAGGATTTACTTCTCACCTCCAGGCAAGTTACGGAGTCATTAAAACAAAAGTTATTTGTGAAGCGGCAGGAGTTGAATTCCTTGCTGGATGACGTGCTTGCTGCCAGGAATCTTCAGCAACTACAGGAGGAAGTTACTAACAGAAGAGAAGCAATATCCGACGAGTATAAAGAAACAACGGACGATACAGATGCTGCTGGAATAGACGATGCAAGTTGCTTAAGGTATGGGAAATACATGCTTTGAGAATTGGGTGATAGGGCAAGGAAGGTAGCCTGCAAAGCAGGCGTATTTTGCTGTGCGATCAATTCGACTGACCGAGAGTTGGGGCAGGGTAACTTTGGATAGTGGTTGGGGACACAGTCGATTGTGCTCACAAATCTTGTCTTTTTCCAGGCCTGTAGCCGGTCTTCAAGAGTGCATGTCTTCACTCAGGTGAGATAACGGCATTTCGTTACTAACGATTATTTTTCTTCTGAATTGAACAAATACAGTCAAACCCGGTTAATACTGTCACTGAAGGGGTCACAAAAAGTGCCCGTATTATAATAAGCGGGTTGAATTTAGAGAAAATGCAAGGACTTTCCTTCCCCAAGGACAAAGCAAACTGACCGTAATAATGATGTATCCGTGTTAGGCGGGTGTCCGTAAATCGGGCTTTGACTGTAGAACGTGCATTACGATTGAGATTCGCATGTGGTGTGGACAGTATACAATATGTATGACCTACTTGAGTTGCGACGTTTAAATCTTCTTTTCTTTTCAATGCCATTGTTATTTTCATAATTTTGTGTTCGACAAGCAAATGGTTTACTGCTCTGACCTTACCTTTAAATTGGTTGGATTTTCCAGGTCGCAAATCAGTAATCTACAGAAGCAAATGAATGATCACACAGACTCCGTGTTAACAGCTACGACATCCTGGAGGTAAAGCACCCTGGGTATTTTTAACATTGGGATAGCCTGGGTAACAGTGGTCGAATCGAATGCGCTGGGGTGGGGCATTGAGAGGAAGGGAAAAAGGGAGGGGGTTGGGGAGAGAGGGTACCCAGGTCTCGTGCCGGGACGTTTTGATCGCTCACGTTTGGTTGTTTCGTCCACGGAGTAAAACTTCACATGACATATCCTGATGCCAAAGATATATTCTGGCTGGGACTGGGGTCAAGGCTAGAACAAATCACGTGCTTCCTTTCAAAAGCTTATGAAGAGGGAACTGACCGCAAAGAAATGCCAGCTTGAAGAGACAACTCGACAGAAGGATAGTTTTATGGGCGAACTGCGCGCTTTAAGAGAGGGTTTGGAGAATCAAGTTAGCTTAAACGGTGCCGTAAAAGACCAGTTAGCACAGAAGGAGAAACTCATTGAAGAATTCCAAGAAATGAAAGTCGCTCTGGAAAAGGAGATTGGTAGTTTGAATCGACAGATAGAGTCTGCACAAGACGAGCTCACAAGAATGGACCACGAGAGAATTGAGATCCAGGAAAAACTTCAGTCTGCAGTGAGGTAACCAAGTTATAAATAGTGGTTTGCTTAAAAAAAAAAAAAAACATGAAAACTATGAAAAACATCCTTCAAGGTGGCTCGATGGGGTTTTTCAGGGTCAATACTTACCTCATTTATCTCGTTTTCGCACGTCCATACGAAAATGCTAAAACGACGGAAACAGGGAAATACGTCCACTGGTGAAAAATGTACTGAAAGCCCATACGTCTTATGAAATTTCAGGTGATCGGTAATGAAACACACTAGCATTCCTTACAGAGAATGCGTAATGCCAGAAGCACATGATATATTTTACTCGATAACCTCCATTTTCGTCCCTCCCAGCAATTAGTCGGCGTTTTCAAAACTCACCCTACATTTTTTTGGTGCCCCAAAATGCCGTTTACAAGAGGACAGAAGGTTAAAACGGAGAAAAAAATGCCCGTTTTCCAAAATATCCAGATACTTGTAAACTGGGCCTTTTTAATGTCTGCGCGTAAGCTCTTCGAGAGGCGAGGGTTCACGTGCGATCGCGAGAGACTAATTTGGGCGGGATTCTTTACCTCTCGCTATTCTCAGGTAGGGATTTTCAGTGCTGGCAGGCTATTTACACTGCGAACGTGATATAGCTGGACTAGATGTTCATTTAAACAATATTGAAAGGAAGAATATTTTGTTCTGTTTGTAGAGAAATTGTCAAGAAAGAGGAGAAGTTTCAACAGTCCCTAATGGAACGAGCAAGGTTGGAAGGCAAACTCGAGACAACAAAAAATTCAAACAAGGAAGAAAATGAAGCGTTAAAAAGTCAAAACGCAACGATTAGAGAAGAAAGTAAGAAGGAAAAGATGCTGCTACAGGCAGAAGTTACGAAGGAGCGGGATAAAGTCATTAACTTGGAACAAGAACTTAAATTTCTAACCGATGAAACTCAGAGAAAGGAAATACTCTATAATCAGGAACTACAGACTACGGAGGCGAGTTTGGAGGAAATGAAAAGTAGAAAGGAGATTGCGGAACAGGAATTGAAGAAACTTCATGAATTGACCGAGGAAAGAATAGAGGAATTGAAGAATGGTTACAAAATCAAACTTGAAGGACTCAAACACGAACTTGATTCTGTGCACCATGAAAAGGTTAGGAAAAGCTTGCGATATCATCACATACCTATACTGTAACTCAGTATCCATTATGTTGAGGTTGAGCCCTCTTATTTTTGGCGAACAGGTAACTGAGGGCCAGCGTGACTGGCCACATTTGACAAGTGCGTATCTTTTTGTTTGCTGTACTTTGATTGGATAAGAATTCTCACGCTATTTTTTCGACCGATCAGGGCCCAGTTGTTCGAAGGCCGATTAGCCCTTAACCCGAGGTTAAATTTAACCCGGGTTTCTTTTTCTTGTGTTTAAAAGAATTTTCTCGGATAATTTTCTCTGTTATTTTAAAAGCCTTCAATAATCAACTTGTAGACAAAAAGAATTAAAACTGAAATGATTTTTAAGCTTTCATATCTGGATTCAAATCTCGCACTAACCCTGGGTTATCTTAACCCAGCTTTGAACAACTCGGTCCAGAAGTATAGGCAAAACCAATCATTTATTGTTTGCCCCCCGGTTTTCCGCGCTTTGTGCCTTCTAATTTTGATTGGTTCTTATTCCTGGTTTCCATATCATCGTCCGGCTTGTCTCAATCGCCTAGACGGTCTAAATGATTATACGGGAACTTACCTAAAGAGCTGCCTCGTCCCCAGTTGCTCGCGATCGCTTATTTTGGGGATAGGACAGGAAAGGAAAGCGGGTCTAAGGGGATGATGGGTAAGGAAGAAGAGGCAAGACTTTCCCTTTTGTCCATTTGTTCCTTTTAATCACTCCCCGTTTGCTCTGCAATCGCTTTCATTATCCCCTCGCCCCACGCTGGTCTTGCTCCCTGCTCAACGTTGGAAAAGCAGTTGGAGGAAGCAGCCTAAATAGAGGCTTAAGTTTTATGGACCTGCAATCGTCTGGGTCATACAGGATCGTATCAGAATGACCTTCTTGAACGCTGAAAAACATTTTGAGACGATTCGGGCAACTTGTGCATGGTCATTAAATTGAAAAAGTATATCTAATATCGCTACTCTACGTAAGAAAATGTTACTCCATTTTCATTTTTACTATTATTCTTTCTCAAAGGTTGAATTAGAGGAAGTTTATAATGCATTGTGTACAAAGTCCTCTCACGAACTTGCGATAAAAGCCCGAGAAATTAACCAAATGGAAAAAGAACTCTCATTATTGAAGGAAATGCTGAAACAAAGGAAAGCGGAGGCCGAGAAGATGCAGCTTTGCGCAATTGAACTCGAGCGAGAAAAAGGTCGCTTGGCTGGAGTGTTAGCAAGTCAGAAAGCCTTACGAGAACATGTGGTAAAGATGGAAAGTGAGGTGGCAACAAAGGAATCAGCTCGCCTTGAGATGACGAGCGAAGTGGAACGACTGAAGAAAGAAGATGAAATACAGAAAAAGACGGCAGGTGAACGAATTGGAATGCTGGAAACAGCGTTGAGTAATCTAAGGGAAGAAAGCAAAAATTTACGGGATGAACTTAGAAGAGAAAGGAGAGAAAATGCTACATTAAGAGGTGAATTGGAAGAGAAAGTTAATGAACGACTGGAGTTAATCAAAAAGTTAGGCAGCGCTGAAAAACAAGTAAAGCAACTGCAAGAAAAGATGGAAAGGCAAATTGATGAAGTGAAAACGTATCGTACGCAACTAGATGTCATGAAAAGTGGCCTTACAGAACAACAGACTGAACGAGAGAATTTGCAAAGAAAATTGGAGGCTGTATTAGAACAAGAAATGGTGAAGGACAGTCAAATTCAAAGCTTGGAGTGGGAGGTTAGTCGACGAACAAACGAGGTGGAGTACCTAAAGGAACAGTTTCGAATGACGGAAGAACGACAGCAGTTAGAATTGGAAAACTTGAAAACTGCTCTTCAGGTTTCCAGAAGTGAAACAACGTCCTTGCGTTCCGACTTGTCAGAAGCAAGAAAAACCAAATGTGCTTACCAAACAAAAACGTTTGAATTGAAGGATTTACTTCTCACCTCCAGGCAAGTTACGGAGTCATTAAAACAAGAGTTATTTGTGAAGCGGCAGGAGTTGAATTCCTTGCTGGATGACGTGCTTGCTGCCAGGAATCTTCAGCAACTTCAGGAGGAAGTTACTAACAGAAGAGAAGCAATATCCGCCGAGTATAAAGAAACAACGGACGATACAGATGCTGCTGGACTAGACCATGCAAGTTGCTTAAGGTATGGGAAATAGATGCTTTGAGAACTGGGTGATAGGGCAAGGAAGATAGCCTGCAAAGCAGGCGTATTTTGCTGTGCGATCAATTCGACTGACCGAGAGTTGGGGCGAATCAAAAAATGATTCCAAGGGAGAGGTGGACGCGTCAAAATAGGGGAGGGGGAGAGGGCTGGGAGAAAAAGGTTTTTTCATTGTTCTCCCCGCCCCTCCTCCATGTACCTTTGGGTCGCGCTCATTTAACTTTGGANGAAGTGAAACAACGTCCTTGCGTTCCGACTTGTCAGAAGCAAGAAAAACCAAATGTGCTTACCAAACAAAAACGTTTGAATTGAAGGATTTACTTCTCACCTCCAGGCAAGTTACGGAGTCATTAAAACAAGAGTTATTTGTGAAGCGGCAGGAGTTGAATTCCTTGCTGGATGACGTGCTTGCTGCCAGGAATCTTCAGCAACTTCAGGAGGAAGTTACTAACAGAAGAGAAGCAATATCCGCCGAGTATAAAGAAACAACGGACGATACAGATGCTGCTGGACTAGACCATGCAAGTTGCTTAAGGTATGGGAAATAGATGCTTTGAGAACTGGGTGATAGGGCAAGGAAGATAGCCTGCAAAGCAGGCGTATTTTGCTGTGCGATCAATTCGACTGACCGAGAGTTGGGGCGAATCAAAAAATGATTCCAAGGGAGAGGTGGACGCGTCAAAATAGGGGAGGGGGAGAGGGCTGGGAGAAAAAGGTTTTTTCATTGTTCTCCCCGCCCCTCCTCCATGTACCTTTGGGTCGCGCTCATTTAACTTTGGATAGTGGGTGGAGACAGTCGATTGTGCTCACAAATCTTGTCTTTTTCCAGGCCTGTAGCCGGTCTTCAAGAGTGCATGTCTTCACTCAGGTGAGATAACGGAATTTCGTTACTAAGGATTATTTTTCTTCTGAATTGAACAAATACAGTCAAACCCGGTTAATACAGTCACTGAAGGGGTCACAGAAAGTGCCCGTATTATGATAAGTGGGTTGAATTTAGAGAAAATATAAGGGCTTTCCTTCCCCAAGGACAAAGCAAACTGTCCGTAATAATGATGTATCCGTGTTAGGCGGGTGTGCGTAAAGCGGGGTTTGACTGTAGAACGTGCATTACGATTGAGATTCGCATGTGGTGAGGACAGTAT